TGCCACAAAGAAACCAAAATAATATTTCGAAAATTGAACAATGAATATAATAATAATAATAATAATAATAATAATAATAATAATAATAATAATAACAATAATAATAATAATAATAATAATAATAATAATAATAATAATAATAATAATAATAATAATAAAAAATTAATAAGGATTATGATAATAGTAATAATAATTATAATTATAACAACAATAATAATAATAATAATAATAATAATAATAATAATAATAATCATCATCATCATAATAATACACGTTTTACAGCATGATTTATACACTTTCCAACTGTTATTTCCCCCAGCAGACCCAAGAACACGACTCAGAAACATTCTCAGCTTTCCAGAAAACAGCACACAGTGTTGCTGACAAACAGACTAGAAAATTAACAAACTGACAAATACTGACAGGATCTTTTGCTGTCTTCAGCCGGATGTCCATTCCCACATGGGTGAAGTGAGGAAAATTCGTGTCATGTGCCTTTCCAAAGTCACAACGTTGAAACCCTGACGGGATCCGATCCCAGTGGTTAAAACAATAAAGTTTTAAGGGTTTTTCTTTTTTTTTTTTAAACATACACTAATTTTCAAATTGTAATTTTCATGAAGAGAAAAGTCAAGTGACTTGTACAATTTGAAAGAGGCTTTCTCATAAAGAAGGACCACCTTATTTGTCATAAACATGTCTCCATGTGTGTGTGTGTGGGGGGGGGGGGGCGTGTGTGCACGGATGTGTGTGCGCGGGTGTTGTGGGCGTGTGTCTGTGTGTTAGTGTTTGTGTCTGTGACGGGTTTTTTTCTGAGACATCAAGAGACTGAAACAGAATAAAAATAAATTAAGAGAGACAAATAACAAAACATAGAGAGGGTGGGAGAGAGAAAAAACTTAGACAGACAGACAGACAGACAGACAGACAGACAGACAGACAGACAGACAGACAGACAGACAGACAGACAGACAGACAGACAGACAGACAGACAGACAGATAGAGTGCGTGGATATATTATATTATTATCAAAGGAAATATAGAAAAGGTTGGAGGAAGAGAAGGAGGGACAATGAGAAAAACGGGAAAAGACAACAGATGAAGAACAGCTTATAATATTTTCTGTGTATTTTGCAAGAACGAGCACACACTAATCTTTGTATTTTGTCAGTATCCGTATTGGGATCCAAACATAATCGTTTCTTTATTCATTGTTTATTGGGGTACCAAAATTATACATAAACAAATATAATTTTACTAACTTTAATATTATCATTATCAGTACCATTATTATCATTATTATTATTTTTATCATTATCATTAAAATACATGTAGTAACCTACTTAAACCCTCTTCATCATTATAATAATTATTATCATTGCTATCATCTTTATCTGTCACTCTTTTCACCGTTAAATTAGAACTTTAATGCCCCAATTCTTTCGGACAACTGACCTACACGAGGAAGTTGGAAAGACAGTACTTTGTTCTTTTTCTTTCAACGACGTAGTCAGCAAAAGGTTGGGTTTAAAAAAATATTTAATCCTTTTCCGTGTTCCTTTGTTCGATATAGCACATGCCATTTGTGTATTGTATAAATAATCGTATTAGGCTACAATTCTTCATGTTATATGAATGAGCACCACTTGACTGTCTTTCAGGCTGGTTGATGCTGATACTTGTAATATAGTTGAGAAAATAGATGATGCCACAATGTGGGCGTAACTGACGTGCCAGTAGTAGTCCCCACAGAGCCTATTGCTGATCCTCTAGTTTTCACATGGGTCCGGGAGGCGCCCTGCAAGATATAGAAGGTATAGGAATAATAATAATGATGATGGAAATGATAGTGAACTCAGGATATTATTGTATGTAAAGTATGCCCCCCCCCCCCACTCCTAACCCCCCATGTATCCCATACACACACACACACACAAACACACACACACACACACAACGGCTTCTCAACACACACACACACACACAGCACGGGTAGGGCCGTGTGTCCGATGCGCAATTGAGTAAAAATGACTTCGTCTCTTCTGGAGAGATCCGAAGGATTTCGCTGTTCTAGATTGGGATTAATTTCATATGATTTATTATTTTTCTGGGGTTTCCCCCTGTTTTCTTCTCACAGACTGAAGGTGTATATATAGACTTTATTTCTAAAAGTCAGTCTGTGGGGAGAGTGTTTGTCGTTGATCCCAGCAGCAGGGATGGAGCTTTCTTCGCCAGGGCGTCTACGTGCTCGTTTTCTCGGATGCCCACATTGCTGTGTATCGATGCGAACATGATGTTTTTTCCCTGTGTCGGGATAGTGCATGGATCTTCTGTTGTAGCCTAACTATTTTTGGGTGTAAGAGTGTGTATTTTGTGAGACACGTGATGCTAGACCGGAGAGTCAGAAAGGATCTCTACAGGTTTTGTTAGGAGAATTTTCTACAGAGACCAGTGCGATGGCCAACGGCAGGGGACCTCCGCAGATGAAAATGGAGCCTTTCTGTATGGAGTCTTCGTCTGTGTAGTATTGTTGGGAGATAGGGCTTGCGGCGGCGCACTTCATTTGTCTTTTTTTGGAGCCAT